CAACTGCCTTTTAGGTACCTCAAACTGGATGTAATAGTAGACATCTTAAACTCAAAACACACAAAACAGAACTCATTATCTTTCCCCCTAAACTCTTCCAACTCCTCCTATTTTCCCTATTACTGTAGAAGACACCACCATCCTCCCAGTCCCTCAGGCTCACAACCTAGGTGTCATCCTGGCCTCCTCACTATTTCTCACCTCCCCCTATATCCAATCTGTTGACAAGGCTTGTGAATTTCACCTTTATAACATCTCTCAAATAAAACTTATTTTCTCCTCTGACATCACCACCACAGTGGTGCATGCCCATATCACCTCTTGCCTTGATTACCACAATAGTTTGCTGGTGGGTTGACCTGCCTCAACTCTTTCCTCTCTCCAATCCATTCTCCATTCAGCCCCCAAAGTAATTCTCCTGAAGTGCAGGTCTGACCACGTCACTCCTCTATTCAATACAGAGCTCCATATTGCCTCTAGCATCAAATACAAAGTACTCTATTTGTCATTCAAAACCCTTCATATAACCTTGTCTCTTCCTACCTTTCCAGTTTTTTTATAACTTACTCCCCCCAACACGTACTCTTTGATCTAGCAACACTGGTCTGCTTCCTGGCTGTTCCACGAACAAGGCATTTCATCTCTTGCCTCCAAGCATTGTCTCTGGCTGTCCTCTACGCCTGGAACACTCTCCCTCCTTATATTCAGCCACTGGTTTCCTTGGTTTAAGTCATAACTAAAATTCCATTATTTTACAGGAAGCCTTTCACAACCTCTCTTAATTCTAGCACCTTCCTTCTTTTGATTATTTCCTATTTACCTTGTATATAGCTTGTCTGTATATATTTGTTTACATGTTGTCTCCTCCGTTAGATTGTCAGCCCCTTGAGGACAGACTGCCTTTTACCTTTTCTTGTTTTCCCAGTGCTTAGCACAGTGCCTGGCACATAGTAGGCATTTAATAAATATTTACTGATTGAATGATTATAAGTATGTGTTAGGAGTTTATATGTATAGATTTTGGATGTCAGACTTTCATACTGGCATATTTATTACAAATATTTTCCAATATTTTAATTTTAAAGATATTACTTTTTGTTGTGTGAAAATCTTATCTTTGTATAATTAAGACTATTAATTTTGCCTCCAATGATTTGAATGATTGATAAAAATATCTTTTTTTCTCCAAAGTTAAGGCAAATGTATTATTCTTTTTTTTTCAAGTTCATTAAAAAAATATTTAGGGCATTGATTCAGTTGGGGTATATGGTCTAAACTGTAGAGGTGGGGAACCTGAAGCCTCGAGGCCACATGTAGCCCTCTAGGTCCTCAAGTGCGGCCCTCTGACTGAATCCAAACTTCACAGAACAAATCCCCTTAAAAAAAGGATCTGTTCTGTAAGACTTGGACTCAATCAGAAGGCCACACCCAAGGACCTAGAAAGCCACATGTGGCCTCGAGGCCACAGGTTCCCTACCCCTGGTTTAAAGTATGGATTCCAACACCTTTCTTGACATGCAGTTGAGTAGAAAGGTAGCAAAGCAGGCTTGAAGTCAGGAAGATCTCAACTGAATACTGCCTCTGTGACCCCAGGCAAGGGGTCTTTAATCTCTGCAGTCTGTCTCCTTGTATGTAAAATATGGATAATAATGATACCTACCTTACAAAGTTGTTGTGAGGACCAAATGAGACAATATATGTAAAGCATGTTGTAAGCCTTAAAAGTGTTACATATGTTAGCTATTGTTATAGTGAACTGAAATTCCCCAGTACTTCTTTTCTCCTTAAAAATGTTTTGTTGGTACTTTTTGTTTTTCATGCTATTATTTTCCAAATATACTTCTCCACCCCTCCATACCTCTGAACAAAGATTGTAGTAAGACAGACCATCAGAATCACCCCAAGAGCACATGTATGATTTATCTGCTACATATGGGGAAGAGGGAAAGTGTGCTCCATATTGGATTCTCTGTAATCAAGACTGGTGAGGGCATTTAATCTGAGCTGATATCTTTTAGGGATGTTTTCATTTCACGATGCACTCTCCTGTTTCTGCTTGCAGTGAGCTGCATTAGTAAAGGTGTAAGTCTGGCTGTATTTCTCTGAATTTCTCATATTCATCATTTACTGTTTTTCTTTTGACCTAGACCTATGATTTCACTGGTGCAACTTGCTTCTGGTGAGGATATTTCCTTAGCACAGGGCTAGGAACATAATAAACACTTGTTGACTGAACTATTATTCTGCACCTCACAGACTTAGAAAGTTGTCTGTGGCAATGAGTAGTGAAGGGGTTTTCTCAGGTTTCCCAACCTGTAGGGACTTCCAGGGCTTTTTGACTCCCAGTCTAATTAACTTTCTCTCTACCATCCTGGACTATCTTTTGATCATTTCTCAACACCATAATATTTTCCCCAGGGTTTCTTTAAGTGGACTTGTCAAATGCTTGTGTACTGGGGTCTAATTCTGAGTTATTTATCCTGTTCCACTGAGCTATTTATTTTTTTCTCTTGTATCAGATGATTTTTTATAAATATTGATTTATATAGCAAATTATGAGTTTTGGTGGTGCCAACTCCTCTTTATCAATTCCTTTTTTCATGAATGAATTAAAATTTATTAAGTGTTTACAATGTGCCAACAGAGTCCCATTGTTTTATTTTTCCTTATAAAATCTTTTATGATTTTATCTAATTATGTGAAATAACTTATTAGTATTCAAATTGGTATTATAATATCTGAAAATTAGTTTTGGGGGGAAAAGTTAGTTTAGCAGGTATTTATGTTTTTATTATATATTTGTGCCACCTAGTCATTAAGAGGGGATATTACTCTACTCTTTGATTTTTGTCAAAATAATTTTGAAGTTGTCTTTGTATAATTATCTTGTATTTCTTGATAAACTGATGCACACATTTGATTCATTTTGTTGTTTTCATAAAAGGTATTTCTTGATACTTAATTGCAGCATGCAGATGATTTTTGTGGGTTTATCTTATATAATGGGACTTTAGTAAAGACATTACTTCCATTTTGGGGGCTCAATTGATTTCTTAAATAAAGCACCTCCTGACCTTCTTTCCCTCTCAGGCCCTCCTCCCAGCCATTAGTGCTTTCTTCCTCCTATTCACTTATCTGCAGACATGCTCTATCCCTCCAGGAGAGTGTAAACTTCTTGAAGGAAGAATGGCTTTATTTTTGTCTTCCCATTCCCAGCAGGGAGCACTTGATAAATATTTGTTGAGTTGAATGGAATTGGCAGATATCTAATAGAAAAACCAGATCAAGTGCTACTGCCAAGAGGGACTTTGAGCTTATTGAGCTGTCAGGTTCTGTTACAAAACAGACAGCATTACTGCAGGAGGTTTTGTTCCTGTGGGGTAAATGGGACCTAGAGCTCAGGAAGGAAGAAAGAAGTCTGCCTTGGGGGACACAGACAGCAAGAAGGGCAAAGGAGCAATTCCAGGAACCAAGACCAAGGCACAGGAAAAGATGGAGTTCTGAAAGGCCAGCCAGATTCTGGTGAGACCAAGTAAAGGCAAAATGGACTCAGAGAGACACCCAGACATAGGAAACTCACTTTCTGCTCAGTCACAGCATTTATTTGAATATGTATTTCCAACTGGGATAAGTAATAATTTAATTCTACAATAATAGAAGACTTAACAAGCATAATCTCCAAGAAAATTACATTTTTGTGCTTAAAATAGCTACCTGTTCTCTACATAAAATCTACCTGGTTTAGCTATTCTAAACCATACACAACCAAGTCAGTATTATGCTTGCATTCTCACTCTCCCTCACTCCCGAGAGCCAATCAGTTGTTAAATCTTACTGTATCTACCTCCACAATATCTCTTACATCCAACCTCTTGGTTTTATTCACACAGCTACCTCTTTCAGTCAGGCACTCATCACCTCTCACTGAGGTTATTACAACAGCCTCTTTGCCTCAAGTCTCTCCCCATTCCAGTTCATCCTACGCTCTGCAGCCTTTGCATTGACCATCTCCCATACTTAGAATATACACCCTCCTGATGTCATAGAATCTCTCTCTTATATTAAGACAGAGCTCAAGCACCACAATTTTATGTGAAGCCTTTCTTGATCTCTCAAACTGCTCGTGCCTTCCCTCACAAACTACAGTGTATTTAATTTATATTTATTTGTACTCATTATCTTTCTACTTATTCTGTATATACTTATATATGTACTTATTCTCTTCTCCATTAGAATGTAAACTCCATGGTAGTGGAGATTAGTCTGTCAATCAATTAATCAATCAATCAATTTACAAGTAATTATTTAGTGCCTACTTTGTGCCATATACTGTTAGGAGTTAAATTAATGCTTGATTGATAACCATTTCTGTAAAGGTATATAATATTTTCTTCCAAGATAATCTATATTAAGAATGATTAGCTTTAAATTACAACAATAAAAATGAAGTTCAAACTGGAAAACATCATTTTAATGCTCTCACTACTATTTAAATAAGCACATATCCCATGACTGTTTTGCTTGATCTTTTAATAAAAATTTCTTGGCTTAAATTCAAATTATGTGGACCTATGATAACTATAGGTATCAACTGGCATCCTTAAGATAATTCTATTAGGTAGAAGTGTCTGATTTTAATTACTTAGTTATTTTTCCTATTTATGCTGTATATAGTTTGTTTGTACATATATGTTTGCTTCTTGTCTCTAATGGACTGTGAGCTCCTTGAGGGCAGAGACTATCTTTTGCCTTTTTTTTGTATCTCCAGAGCTTAGCACAGGGCCTGACACATAGTAAGAGCTTAATGCTTACTGTCTGACATGATAAAACTGAAGCCCAGAGAGGTAAAGTGATATGACCAATGTGATATACCCAGCTAACGGGTGGCTGAATCAAGACAAAGCCTAAATCTTCTGTTTCCTAACTTAGTGCTTTTTACAGTTTATGTCCTATACATAAAATTATCAGTGCTTTTACTAAAAGGCAACAAGATTACTTACATTTAACGCTGGAAGTCATGCTTACTGGCATTGAGCAATCTACAACAGCTGAAAAGGAAAAAAAACATATAATTTTATAATAATTCTAAACTGAATATTGGTTAAATTAGAAAAAGTCCTCAAGAACATTACATTTTGAAAAATTTAGCAAAATCAAAACCTTTTGTTTTTCTCTAGATTATATATATTCATAAGTATTTTGATCAATGCTTAATTTTTTATGAACTCAAATAATTATTTCAGAATCATCAATAAAATAATTTATTTATAATTCAGCATATTTTACTTTTAAAGTCCTATAAATCCATGTTTTGGGCAGCTAGGTGGATAGAGTGCTGGGCCTGGAGTCAGGAAAGTCCATCCTCCCTCATCCTCCTGAGTTCAAATCCAGTCTCAGACATTTACTAGCTGTGTGACCCTGGGCAAGTCAATTAATCCGGTTTGCCTCAGGTTTCTCATCTGTAAAATGACTATAGAAGGAAATGGCAAACCACTCTAGTATCTCTGCCAAGAAAGCTTCAAATATGGTCATGAAGAGTTAGACATGATTAAAAAACAACTGAACAAAAACCCAGGTTTTAATGCTTTGGGGATAATACATTAAAATAGTTTAATGTTTTACATTCAACACATTTTCAAAGTTTATATAGATTTTACAGAATTTCAGAAGGCATCTTAAGATTATCTAGAACAACTATCATTTTACATATGAAGCAATTATGGTTCAGAGAAAGAGATTTGCACAAGGTCACATAGCTATGTAGTGACAGTTCACACAGGAATCTAGGTCTCTCACTCCTAGTCAGCGATCTTTCCAATTAAAAAATACATTCTATTTTAGGCTTCCATTCTTTAGAATACTAAATATTCCTTAAGCTAGTGATTGAGGGGTAAAAAAAGACTCAGTAAAACTGTGAAATCTTTTGGATATGCTAAATAACTTTTGGATAGAGGGCAGGATGGAAAATAAACCTAGAGAAACTGTTGTGCTAGAACTGAAAGCTATCATAGATTTATTAATATTAATTTTGATAACAAAATTGGGGATAGCAGGAAGTCCAAATATTTTGAAATGTAACACTAACCTATGGCTGAAGGAGAGCTTTCTTTCTTTCTGAACCGGTAGTTAATTTAAAATATTTTAAATGAGTTAGGAAATAGAATAGCAACAAATTAAAATTCTCAAACACATCAAGAACCTGCTTTAGGCCAAAAACTGTAATATGTGTTGTTTTTGAGTAGCAATTTACTCTCTGTTCAGACTTTTAAAAGGCCAAATTCACGTACTGCTTTTTAATCTGTCACTTTTATTTCTAACAATAGATTTATTTACAAACATTCTTTCAGAATATCAAGATCATTAATTTATAACCTCTTGGCAAAAAGACTTCCAGTTTTCCTCAAGACTGCCTACTGCTACATCTAAACCCTATTCACACAAACAAGCATACCAGAGATGGGAGATCTGCAGCTGAAAGGAACCTCAGAGGCAACTGCTCCAATTCCCTCATTCTAGAGATGAAGAAATCGAAGCCCAAGGAGGAAAAGTGACTTGCCCAAAATGACACAGACAGTAAACATCAGAGACATGATTTGGAACCAGATCCTGATTCCAGGGCCAGGGCTTTTTCAACTATACCAATTTCCAGTTACAGACAATTAAAAGAAACATGAAGGGACACAAGGAATGAAATTTAATAAAAAAGTAAAAAGGGCAATGTTCAGTAACACGGAAGCAGTTGACCCTAAGAAGCGTGTTCCCCAAACAATGTGGCCATGGAACATTTTTGGGCTTTAAGTGAATCCTAGATTCTGGTACCAGGAATCTGGGGATATGGAAAACCTACTGGACAGAGTCAAGGATAATTTGGTGTAAAAAGTAAGAATTAAACCTATTTTCATATCCCCTCAAATTCTGTGGATATTAAGTATTTCTGATCTATTCATAATCTCATGCTTAACATTTCAGAGGGAAATACTGCTAATAGTAATAACAAATTTCTATGGTTCTTTAGGTTTACAAAGTACTTTCCTTACAACAACCCAGTGAGATAGACAATGTAAGTATTATTATCCCCCTTTTACAAATCAGGAAGATAAGGCTAAGAGCAGTTAAGTGCCCAGGATCACACAGCTAAGTATGTATCAGAAGTACAATGTGAATCCAGGTTATCTCCTGAATACAAGCCTAGGACAGAGCTTTTTCTATTACTCCCTGCTGCTGCTTCTAAATAAACATCTTCCCATAGATCACCATTCACAATGTACAGAATGCCAGGGTTTAAAAGAATACAGCTTGGGAAAAGTAGCCCTGGAACTTTCAAAAATCCAACTGAAAATTACTCAGAAATAAAGGGAAAATGGCTTGGTGCCAGAAAAAAATTTACTGTCAAGTCAATGAACATAATAACAGTAGAAGATTTGAATCAAAGAATGTTAGCACTGGAAAGGATCATAAAGATGATCTAATACAGGTCCCTCATTTTGCATATGAGGAAAAACTGAGGACCTGACATGCCCAGCGCCACACAACTAGCTACTAGTAAAGTCAGGACTAAGACAGAGAGTTGTGTAGACGATCACATTATGGGAAGCTTATCTCCAAATATACATATGAGAATAGACATTAAAATCATAGAAAAAGTATGTAACATCAGAAATATTAAAACATTTGAATAAAGCATTTTAGACAATTACTAATCAGCTGTATCTGAAAGTAACAGATAAAAAGCATGCACAATGGTTCTAACAATGTCACAGAATACTATAAATGATCTTAACTTTTAGTCAATGATGATAAAACAAAGAACAATTTTGGTTATTTAAAATAAAAAAGTGCAGCAGCTGAAAAAATAAGCAAACTTCAAGCATTCAGCAAAATAACATTGGAGAAAATAACACTAAGTTAAGTCACCAAAAAAGTAATATAAATAACTTGAATTTTGAAGACTTACTAAAAAAAAAAAAAGTAGTTTTTTTGGCTACTTCTCTATTCTAAATCAAAAACAAAAAGCAAATGTTAAAGTATTTGGTATACTGAAATCAAAGATGAAATGCTACAGAAATAAAACATAAATAAGAAAGACAAGAAAAAAGCACATTCAGGGCTGTATCACCATTCAAATATAGATTAAAAGGCCAGCTTTATGGAAAAGGCATAAATTTGCTAAATTGTATTCAGGGTTTAGTGATTTGAAAAAAAAAATTTAGTTAGGCAGATATTAACTAAATTGATCTCAGCCAGGTGCTGAACCAATCACATGAATCTTTCTACAACCCAATTTTCCCATTCTTGCTACACTGAAAGGGCTAAAATTGTGTGTAGAAGGTTCATATATGCACATTTTTACCTTTGGCTGAAAGGATTTTATTATAGTGAATAGCCATGTGGTTCTTGATCAGGTAGAGGGTACTTAGTCTGAGAGAGGAGGAGTCAGTGCAAAAAGCTATAAAATTAAAACACATTTGATCATTACATATTTCAGTCTAATATAAAAACGACCAAGACATTAGATAAGTAAAGAAACAGTTATTGACAAGCAAAATCATCCCCATAAATCATTATAAAATATAACTGAGTAGTGAGATGCAACCTTTTCCAGAGAGCACACAAGAATTCTGAGAAAAGGTAACAGGCATTTCAGATTCCATTCCTTGTAAAACACTATTTTTCCTTATATTTGCAATACTAAATCTTAATTTGCCTAACTAAAAAAGCTCAGTTATCCATATATTTTATAAAAAGGTGGTATGGCACTTTTCTTATATTTCATTCCTTAAGTCTGGAACAAACAAACAAACAAACAAAAAACAAAGAAAATAAACCCCAACACGACTTATATCTGACCCTACTCTGGCTATGATTTAAAAACCATTGCTATATCCATCAGCCTAATAATGCCTTGTTTCCAAAGTTACCCTGCTACCTTATAAAGTTCCAATAGCAATCCATTCAAGTTCCACAAAGGCACAATTCCCAAACCTCATCCAAACTATTTTAAAAACATCCTCTAAATAATTATTATCTTCAAGACACATGTATGAAAATATTTGTGTAGTTTCTAAGTTTACCTTTGAAATTTTGAGTTTCAAGCAAAATACATATTTTTCCAAAGAGAACTTCAAGATTATAAACTTATATTTGCATATAATTCTTAATAGGCAAATCAAGAGATCTGAAGGTGTAATATAAAAGTTCCATCCTCCTACTCCTCTTTCCTATGCTTGTAAAAAAAGAATTTATTTTCCATTATTTCATTGAGAATGTATTCAATTGTAATTCAAGAACTACAATATAAAAATTCACAAAATATAAATTTGCCTTGATGATACTTCATTTTACTAAATACTTTCTTAATAAAGAATTACAGGAAAATATCTTTCTCATTCAAAGGGGTAAGTTCCAGAGATCCTAGTAAACAAGGCAGATCTATGAGTATTATTTTATTGACAATGTTTCCTTACAAATAAATCTCTTTTTGCAATGTTCTTTCAATGTTTCTAACTAATTACATCGGGATAAGGCCTCAATAAAATGTTAATACAGAATTAAAATTATTCTATGCCACCTATTAATCTCCATTTAAATAAGGAAGGCATGCTCTCAACTAAGGGTTACATGTAGGCATCATCAATAGTAGCCAGCAGGAGGCAGGGAAGTGGGTGAACTAGCCTTAGGTGCAGAATACAGTTGAACTTGTGTTGTTTAACACGCTGAATATTTGAAAAACTGAATCACTGAATCTGGAAGTTTTCCTACAAATATCTAAAAATTATTTTGATAGTTACTAAACAGACACATTAGATTAGTAACTTTCACTAAGTGAAATGACTTTTAAACCATGCAGTTTAACATGAACATGCAACACACCGAAATATGGTCCAACTTTTTAACAAAACATTCATTAGCCAGTATTTTTCACTTACCATTACTTTTTATGCTTAAGTGTCCTGTAAATGGGCTTGATGGACCATATCTGGGCATGACAAGGTTTGTTCTGACTTTTAACAAAAATGTGACAATTAGAACAAAAGAAAAATTTCCGACAAACGATATAATACGGAGAATAATTTTTAAGTCATTAATTTTTTATTTAACTAAAATAGCAGATTGCAATTTTGCTGAGTACTCTTTACAAGACTGTACTGCCACAGCAAGTTTTCTCTGGCTATATCATCAATCACAATTTTGTGGCACTTATCTTTAGTATTGTATTTTAAGACTTTATATGCTTCATGTGAAATGATACATTGACCACAGACATTATTTAACTGGACAAACATTTATTAAACTTTTATTGTATCAAGTACTATGCTAGGCACTGAGAATATACAATTGTGAGGTTATTGTCCCTACTCTCAATAAGTTTGAAATCTAATAGATAGGGTATATTATATACACAAGTAAGTATACAATATACAGAAAGTGATCAAATCAAAGGGAAGGTCCACAGTACTGTGACAAAACATGAGGAGGAAGAGATCACATTCAGATTGTTGACTCGAAGAGTGGCTATGAGGTTGGGAGGTGTTCACACAGACCTTCTACCCAAACTTGGGTCTTAAAGGAAGAAATGGATTTCATCAAATGGGAATATCAAAGGAACATATTTCAAGCAAGGAAATGAAGGTCAAGATTGAAAAACAAACACCTAGAAGTCTAAATTGACTGGAATGTATAGTTCGTGAAATGGTTAAATGGAGCTAGATATAGAAAGCTTTGAATCAATCAATAAACATCCTACTATGTGCCAGGCATTGTGTTAAATGCTAGAGACACAAATAAAAAGAGAGACAGATTCTGCTGTCAAGGAGTCAAGGCCCCTTGGTACAGGGGCATGATGAAGAGTTCAAAAGATGTCCAAAAGCAGCGCAGCTGTTGGGAAATGAGAGAAAACTGTGCTGAGCCTCCTCTTTAAACAGAAGCTCTGTCCAGAAGTCAAAGGATCCAATTAGGGGCACAAAGGGTAGAGATGAAACAGATGTATGAGTACAGGCAGATTCAGTAACCTTGAATACCAGGTTAAGGAGTTCGTATAGTTAGGGTAGAGGTAATAGGGAAGGTTTTTGAGCAGGGTAATGACATGATCAGATCTGTTCACTTGGAAGATTAATTTGGCAGCTATGTAAAGGATGGAAAGAGAAAGAGACTCGAAGGGAGATTAAGAATAAGAGTTGAGGAGGGTTCTTTAAAGGAGAGGAAAGTATGGAGATGAGATATTTCAGAGAGAATTGACAGTACCCAAAAACTAATGGAATATGAGAGAAAAAGAAGATTCAAAGATGGTATCATGATGGGGGTATGAGGTTATGATTCTTTTCTAAGGAAATAGGAGACCTAAGTATATTTGTAGGCAGAGGAAGGATCACAGATTTAGAGCCAAAAATGTTATATTTAGAAATCATATAGTCCAACAACTTCATGAAAGGATGAGGAAATCAATGCACAAGTTCACAAAGGCGGTTAAAAACAGAACATAGATTTAAACTGAGGTTCTCTGACTGATTCCAAATCTAGAACTCTTTCCATTCCACCACAAATGCTCCCTATGTTACTAGTAGAAAGGGAGAGAATGAAGATGAGAAGAAAAGATAAATCCAGCTCCCAAAGGAAACTGGAAGGGATGGAATCAAAGGCACAAGAGGATAGGAGCTGGCCAGGGAGATCACTATCTCAGTGTGAGATTGTAGGGAAGGAGAGAGGTTGCTATTATTAATTCAATACAGCCAAAGGGTCAGTTGTGAAAAGCTGAAGCATACTTGCTGAAAAGATAAGAAAAAAAGTTTAAGGTAGGACACAGATGCAAAAAGGAGAGACTGATGGAAAAATGATGTCAAGATGGCAGCTTCAAAGAGCAAAGAAGAAGACAGATTCTAATATGGGAGAAAGACAGACTAGAATCAGAAAACTTTTATGGATGGGGCAGGGCCTTGGTAATAGGCCAAAGAAGAGGCAGAAAGAAACCAGGTTATCTGAAGCAACAACAACAACAACAACAAAAAAAAAAAAAAAAAAAAAGGCACAAGCTGAGTTACAAGGTGTATTACCTGTTAACCTCACAGTTTCTACTAAAAATCAGGTTTGTATCTGGGTTTTGGTTTTTTTTTGCATTTTTGGTGAGGCGATTGGGGTTAAGTGACTTGCCCAGGGTCACACAATAAGTGTCAAGTGTCTGAAGTCGGATTTGAGCTCAACTCCTGACTCCAAGGCTAGAGCTCTATCCACTGCACCACCTAGCTGCCCCTGTACCTGAGTTTTATTCCTCCAAACAATAAAAACAGGGTTGCTAATGGCAGTTGCTTGACTTACAATTAAAAACTAAGAATAGGGTAGACAAGCCTCTTGGTAAAACTAACTTGGTCAGGACCTAATAGAAGGGCCTAGGAAGGAGTAAATGGGAATGACAAAAGGATATGTTTTGAAAGGAGCCATTTAGTACTTTAAACTCATCCAAAGCACATTGACTAATGTGAACTGTATGTATGAAATATTTCAACAATACATTCCTTTTGCCCTGAAATGTTGTAAAGTTTAGTTGAATTGCATATGTTAGATTTCAGTGAATTGTGTGGGACAAAATTTGTACTCCCATAAAAGTCAAATAGGGACAAGGATAAGATCTTAAAGGGGACAAGTATCAAATTTATTTAATGTATTTATGGTCAAATTAGTACTTCAAGCTTGTTCTGTAAGAGAATGTCTATGATGTAATAATAGATCACACATATAAAGGAATAAAAAAAGGAGTCAAAATTGTCTTTTAAAAAAGGTTTTAAACTAAATTTTGGTAAAGTATTAATTATGCTTTGAAATACTTAAAGATTTTTTCTTAGTAAACTGTGATGGAAAGTTAAAAATTTTTAGTTTTAAAATTTATATATTAGTTTTTACAGTATTTAATGTTGATTTGGCTTTTATTATTTATGGCTTAATAATTTGTGGCACATGGCAAATGTGCCAAATATATATTGTATGGAATTTATTTTAAAATTCTGAAATAAATAACAATGCCTGATGTATGTGTGGTATCCCCTTCCCCTCAGAGAGTAAATTCAGTAAGCAAAAGGAGTGATTAATTTTTCCTTTTCTATCTCTAGCACCTACCATAATGCTTTGTACATAGCATGTGCTTAATGTTTGTTAAATTGAATCATTTTGCAAACTCAGTAAAAACTATATTGCAAACTGATTAAAAACTAACTTTATTGGTTATATTATTAAAGCATTAATCTTAGCTTACGCATTTTTCATTCAATAATTATATACCATATATACTATATAATTATATACTGAAAAACTATCGTATGCCAAAAATTACACTATACACCTTGACAGTATACAAAATAAGATACACGGTTCTTTTAGAGAGAGAGAATAAAACTCTCAAAAATCATAAAAAGCATTTAATTTCTCTTCTAAGGAAAAGGTGTTCACAATAATTTTATTGTTTTGAAAATTACTGCACTTTGAGGCTGTTGTACAAGAAAGGTTTAGATATACTCAATTTACTGCTCAATTAAGTGTTAATTATTTTCTAACAAGATGGACAAAGATCATTCATTGTCAAATGTCAATGTTAAATTGTCAAAGCAGATTTCAAGGCACAATTAAGCATTTTCACCTAAGGATACTCTTCCAAATCAAGACAGAAGATTCAAGGACGAGATATTGCCTTATTTGAGTTCTCTTACATCTGCTGTCCTGACTGTAAAATACTTGAACTGAAAATGACCATAGCAGGTGGTTCAGAGTTCAGTATTGACCAGTTTATCTGGGCAAGGACAGACTGGTATGTTATGGGGAGAGGCAGGGGTAGAAAATTCGTTGCCTGGGTAGAAGGGATGTTCACATACTCTTTAGTCATAGAAAAATAGGTTTTATTGGTTCTTAACCTTGGGGTCCATGAACTTGCTTTTTAAAAAAATTTTTTTATATAATTGTTTCCTTTGTAATCCTATATATTTTATTTTATACATTTAAAAACATTCTGAAAAGTGGTCTATGGGCCTCAGCAGACTGCCAAAAGACTGGCATGACCTACAAAATAGCTAGTGATCTAGTTGAACCCTCTCCTTTTACAGTAAAGGAAACTGAGGCATAGAGAGGCAGCTGGGTGGCCCCATGGATAGAGTGCTGGACGTGAAGTCTGACAAACCTGAGTTCAAACCCTGCCTCACACACTTATACTCGGCTGCGTGACCCTGGGCTAGCAAGTCACTTAATCTTTCTCAGGCTCAGTTTCCTCATCTGTAAAATGGGGTGAAATAATAGCGCCTACCTCACAGGTTTGTTTTGAAGATGAAATAACATAAGTAAAGCACTTTGCAAACCTTAAAGCCTATATAAATGCTAGCCACCCCGACCCCCGGACCCCTTGTGCTGGGATTCAAAATCAGGTTTCCTTAGGCCAAATCCATCACTCTTTCCACTACTACACTTTGCTGCCTTCCTCATGGGTTGGCTGCGCCATCTTAACAGCATCACTGTACCCCAAGATCACAATTCAGAGACAGAATGGGGCCCTGTGACAAATGGATTCCATCGACTACAAGTGGTAAAAAACAAAAATAAAACAAAACCAAAAAAAAGAAAAAACCACGTGGAAGTGTCACAGGCATAGAATTTTTTTTTTTTTTTAACATTAGTAGAAAGATGCTTAGAAATCATCTAGTCCAACTCCTTGAGAGACTGCGTGCTGGGAGGGCGGCTGGTCCACTGCAGGAGGGCAGAGGTCACACTCGGGAGGGGGGGACTAGAGCAGCCCGGGGAGCGGGAGGGGTGGGCCGGCGGTGGGAGGAGGGAATGGGGCCCGAGCCCCACGAGCAAGATGCCTCCCCCCGCCCGCGTCCTCCCCCGAGCCTTCACACCGCCGCCACGGTGCAGGGCGGCCCCTTTACCTTTCCGGGGGTTGTCCTGGTTCTTTCCTCCCATATTCTCCCTTTATTGCCGCTGCAAGAATACGCTGGGCCCCCCTCTACTCTTCCCCGACGGTCGATCTCCGGGTCTGGCCCAGGCCACCCACCCCGTTCCACCCTCCCGCGGCGGTGGTGGCGGCGGCGACGGCGACGGAAACCGAGGAAGAGGAAGGCTCATAGAGCCTCAGTCTCCCCGGGCGACCGTAGTCAGGCGGGTTGCTAAGGCGCCTTTACGGCCGTGTGTGGCGTCACGACGCAGAGGAGGGGGCGTGGTCATCCTTCACTCCGATTCCCACCCACTCCGATTCCAAGGCGAGGCTGGCCGTTTTAGGAGGGGCGGGATTATGAGGCTGGGAAAGAAGGGGGCGGAGCCCAAACTGAGCGGGGAGGAGGCGGGGGGGGGGGAAGAGGGGAGAGGCAAGAAGTGGGGCGAAAATCCAGGAAAGAGGGAGGGGCGCTGCTGCTCCTCTAACCAGGCTTCACCTTCCGTTTCTTGGCGCAGCTCTGGTTCAGGGGAGGAAAAGAAAGCGCAGGTCTCTCTCTTCTCTCCGGGTCCTCTGAGCAAAGGAGGTGGATGCTGACGACCTCAAGCTGGTCGGTCTGTCGTTGCTCTGAGATGCTGCCAACCCCCCCATAGAGAAGCCTCCTGTTACAGGGAGGAAAGTCAGGGCTCAGGAACTGATGGGCAGCATGCTGCTTCGTCTCTGCTAGGAGGGGTCTGGTGGTTTCATCTAGCACCTCTCCCTTGGGTCCAGAAAAAGTCAGAAGCAGACCCTGGTGAGGTCATAGTAACGTCTAACCAGCTTCAGTTAATTAAATTCACTACACTGCCACAAGGTTTTTGGATGAGTTAAAACCCCAGAGAGATTTAAAAATGGCACGCTTACAGGTTTTCACATTCACTAACAAAAGCTCATAATGGAAATTAAAAATTAAAAAAAAAAAATATATATATATATCAATACCTGGTCATGTAGATTGTACATCTTAAACATAAATGGTTAGTTTTTAGTCATGTTCTAATTATTGAACTCCCGAATTTACCTGTAAATAATCACTTTTGAATGAATGATCTGTGCCTATACAGGGAATTTGGATTAGCATGGCTAATGGAAAACATAATTAAGGAATCACTTATTTGTATTTAGCGCCTTTTCACACAGAAGCTCTTAGTTCTCATATCTACTCAAAGCTATGTTAGTAAAGGCTTTTAATGAATTAGCATAGTGAGAAAAGTAGCAATAAAACATTTCTTCACAAACCCCTTAGGCACACTCTCCCACAAATACCTATAGCATCAGGGGAAGTTATGTGGGAACACAGGCATGGAGCAATATTCATTTATGGAAGATGTGTCCAGGGCACATATGAGAAGAGCCCATAGGTAGGTGACACATTTTGCCAGAGCACATATGAAGGGACAATTCACTTACATAACAGGGTTGCCAAAATAATCATACTGCTACTACCAGGCCTGCTACCTACTGGTCTCATATGACACAAAGTCCCTGCCAGACCATTGCTCCTTGTAGGTCCTTAGTGACTACGGCTGGCTGCTTGCTACTGCGTGTATTGATCTACTGGGCATAGATGATTGTAGAGCTTACTCTTCCAGAATCTGCTTCCAAATGGAATCCACAGCTGAGGTGCTACCTCTTCTCCATTAACAAAAAAAAAAAAAAAAAAAAAGGATATTCCCCCACCATCTGTCCTTTGGCTTAACAGATAAGAACAGACAGTTTTCAGACAAATTTATCTATAGTCATATGAAAAATGCTCTAAATCACTATTGATTAGAGAAATGCAAATTAAAACAACTCTGAGGTACTACCTCATACCTATCAGATTGGCTAATATGAGAGAAAAGGAAAACGATAAATGTTGAAGGGGATGCGCAAAAACTGGGACACTAATATACTGTTGGTACAGTTGTGAAGTAAACCAACAATTCTGGAGAGCAATTTGGAACTGTGCTCAAAGGGCTATAAAATTGTGCATACCAAAAAACAAAACAAAACAAAACAAAACCAAAAAAACAAAAAAAAAAGAAAAAAATTGTGCGTACCCTTTGATCCAGCAATACTAGGTCTGTATCCCAAAGAGATTTTAAAAAAAGAGGAAAGGGAAGAACATATTTTTATAAAAATATTTAAAGCAGCTCTTTTTGTGGTGGCTAAGAATTGGACATTAAGGGAATGCCCATCAACTGGGGAATAGTTGAACCAGTTGTGCTATATGAATGTAATGGAATATTATTGTGCTATAAGAAACGATGAGCAGGATGATATCAGAAAAACTTGGAAAGACTTACATGAACTGATAGAGTGAAATAAGCAGAACCAGAAGAACATTGTCCATAGTAACAGCCATATTGTACAATGAAAAACTGTGAATGACTTAGTTTTTCTTAGCAATACAATGATTCAAGACAATCGCAATGGACTTATGAGGATTGCACATGTATAACCTATATCAGGTTTCTTACCATATCAGGGTGGGGGAAGGGGCAGGAGGGAGGGATAGAACTTGGAACTCAAAATTTGAAAAGAAAAAACAGCAGATGTTGAAAATTGTTTTTACATATATTGGGGGAAAATAAAATATTAAAAATAAAAAAAATAAGGGAGAGCAAAATCTGGTTTGGAGGAGGGTTCTAAAAGGATGAAGGATGTTGGAGAAAACTTGACCTAGATTTTAAATTTTGTCATATATAAGTAAGCAATTAATATTTATGAAGTAAATACTATGCAGCTAGATGGTGCAGTGGATAGAGTCCAGGCCTGGAGTCAGGAAGTCTCATCTTCCTGAGTTTAAATCTGGCCCTAGACACTTCCTAGCTGTGTGACTCTGGGCAAGTTACTTAACTCTGTTTGCCTCAGTTTCCTAATCTGTAAAATGAGCTGCAACCTACTGCAATATCTTTTCCAAGAAAATCCCAAATAGGGTCATGAAGAGTTGGACAGGATTGAAACAATTAAACAACAACACTATGCACAATACTGAGGGGGATTACAAATGTGGAAGTTTTCATTCTATTGAAATATTTAAACCAGTGTTGAGGGGAAAAAAATTAACACTGTATTCTGCATTGTAGACACAAGCCCACCAGAACCAGTTTTTATTAACATTTTATTATTTTAAATCTCAGCGTTTTTCAGCTTAGAGAAATGTCCAAGCTCTCAGTCCCCTCACACACTTGGACATCTCCTCAATACAAGAAACTTTGAAATAACATTTAACAGTTTCTTAAATATTGAAAAATTTCATAATCTGATAAAGTGTAATTACCCAACTTAAAAGCAGGGTCAAAGTTAACATTCTGCTTATTCAATCTAGAACAATGGTCACTTAAACTTGAAGAATCATAAAACCACTAAATCCCTCTATGACCACTCCCCTCATGGATTCTCCTGGATCCATCTTCCCAAGCTTGGTCACAGATGACCTGAAGTAATTGGAGACCTTTTCCATCTGATCAATACCCTAACCCCTTCAATAAGCAGGGTACTGCTTTTAGGCAGGTGATTAGTTCTTCAGGGGATTTGGAAATAACTATTATGCATCAATCAAGGACTCCCTTGTCTTTGTCCTTTAGCTACCCCAATTACTTCAAAGGGAGAATCCTTGTGGGGCTTAGCAGAGAGAAGGAAGCAACACACTACTTAAAAATTGATAGTTAAGGAAAAATTAATAAGGTTTCTGTTTCAGATTAATCTAAAAGCTTGAGATAAGGGTACTTCTAAATGCTTTCTTAATATTTCTAAGAAAAAGAGCAGGAGGGCTTTGTCTGCTTCCATACTAGGGTGAATAATTATTGGCTATATATGCTTTTTATAGATGGCTAAATTCTCCATCAGAGATACAGAATGTAATTTTAGAGTAACTTTAATCTAAACTTACTTCCTCCTTCTTTCCTTCCCTTCCCTCCCTCTTTCATCCCTTCCTCCTTCCCTCTCTTCTCTCTTCTCTTCCTCTCTTTCTCCCTTTCCTTCTACAAAATGCATAAAGCAAAAGAACTAGTTTTTATTAGACTTTATTAACATTTTATACCAAGTTGCTGAATTTAATTTTGTAGTAATATAATATATTCATATCACTTTGTTCATATCTCCCCCATTAAAATGTGAAGTCCTTCAGGACTGTTTTTACCTTTCTTTGTATCCCCAACACTTAGCACAATTCATGATACATAATAAGCACTTAATAAATGTTTACTGATTGTTGACTGACTGACTTTGTACATAACAGCATCACTAACTGAATAGAAAAGTATGTAATGACTGTTGTGAGGAAGATGTATTAATCATATTTCTGTTTCTCATTCAAAACCAATAGAGTGTGCTACAAATAATTAAAGTTAACATTTTCATGTGGGGAAGGGAAAAGAATAAGTATTTATGTAATACCTGCTATGTGCTAAGCATTGTGCTAAGTGCTTTTTTATGAGTATTATCTCATTTTATCCTCACAACAATCCTGGTGAGGTAGTGCTATTATTATCCTCATTTTACAGTTGAGGAAACTAAGACCAACAGAGGTTAAGTGACTTGCCCAGGGTCACACAGTCAGTAAGTGTCTGAGGCTACATTTGAACTCAGTTCTTCTTGACACCAGGCCCAGTGTTTTATCCACCGTGCCACCTCTATGAATGTTTTATAGTTTTTTTAAAGTACTTTATTATATACATGACTTCATTTGATTCATGAAACAACCTTATGCCATTGATTGTACAAGTATTATTATCTTCATTTTATTTATTGACTTCCTAGAAGATGGTAGACTAGGTCTACCGGATTCCAAATCTAGTTCTGTTTAAAAATTTTTTTTGTTTTCATTTCATTTTTATTTGCACTCTGTTATATTTACTCCTATGCCATCAACTTTTGTTTCTTCAGTTTCTTTTGGGGTATCTTTTTCTTTTGAGAAACCTCCTCTTCTGGTTTAGGAACAATATGTTCTTTTTCAGTACTTATCATCTCAATGTGCTAAGGAGAACACATGTATAGGTTGATTTGACCATGAGCCCTGTAAATATGCCATTGCATTTTGGAAGGCTTGTTAACCTGGACATGCTCAATGACAAAAGAATCCACATCCAAACCCTTCAGTTCTGTTTAACACTCTCCATTCTTAGGCATATGCAGCAAGAACTCAGCACTCTTTTAGGGCCAAT